TATATATATATATATATATATATATATGTGTGTGTGTGTGTGTGTGTTTGTGTTCCTGTTTTTGGCTGTCCTTGTTAAAGGTTGTATAACTGATCATTTGGAATGGTGGCAAAACATTTTTGCATGGTACTTTCTGCGTGACTTACTACTAATTTTGTTTAAAACTGTGCAAGATTTACTGTACAAGTCAAACTTTGGATTGATGATTAGGCAAAAGGGTTGGCATAGAGAGCATATTATGGACCCCTTGAGGATCCTAACAAAGACCACCGAAACAAAATAAGAAACATTTGGACATCTTCATCCTGTTCAAAAGTTTTCTGCAAGGGGTTCCCAAACTTTCGCATGCCACTCTACAAACAGGACACCAAGCAAAAGGAGGCCCTGAGAAAGCAGGCAGCTGAGAGAGGAATATAAGCTGCATCAGGATGTAAAATAACTTTAGATCTATCCAGAGCAAACTGAATGCATGACGGATGTACCGATAGAGCGTGAACATCACTAGTGAAGAGTGAAGGGGTTTGTAGATCCAAAGTTTCCATAGGCTCAAACGGAGGCTTGCACATGTACAATGACAGCACTATTTACAGGTGCAGTCACATTAACAAACTTTCATGGGCAAAAGAGTCCATTGTCTGTTGTCCATAGTGATGTATGAAGCACAGCTCACACAGAAGTCACATTCAAACCAAGCAGATTTCTGTTAAAGGGTTAGTTCACCCAAAAATGAGGATTCTGTCATTAATTACTCTCCCTCATGTCGTTCTAAACCCGTAAGACCTTCGTTCATCTTCGGAACACAAATTAAGATATTTTTGATGAGTTCTGAGAGCTCTCTGACCCTCCCATAGACAGCAATGTAATTACCACGATCAAGGTCCAGAAACGTAGCAAGGAGATCTGTAAAATAATCCATGTGACATCAGGGGTTCAATCGTTATTTTATGAAGCTACGAGAATACTTTTTGTGCGCAAAGAAAAAAAAAAGACTTTATTCAACAATTCGTCTCCTCCGTAGCGCTGTATTGGAGAGTATCCACTGAACGTAAACAGCGTATGCTATTCTGTGTCAGCTGCATCACGCAGATCTCATTCTCTCATTCCAGTGTAATAATCAAGGAACTTTGCTGCCGTACCATGGGTGCAGCAGGCGTAATGATATTACGCAGCGCCTGAAAATAGGCTTATTGGAAGTTACCTAGCTGGGACTATTTTCAGGCTTAACTCTAGGGGAGTTGGAAAATGAGCCTATTTTCAAAAATAGTGGAGTGTTCCTTTAAGACTGGTTTTGTGCTCCAGGGTCACATTTGAAGATCATCAAAAGAATCATTTTTTTAAAGAAAACAGCTGATATTATGTAAGCATTAATGTTATCAGTGTTAACTAAAATCTTTTTAATTAAAAGATAAAAAAGGGAGCCAAAAAGAACAAATAAATAAATAAAATAAAATGGTCAGATTTAATTAATCTCGTCTAAGTCTGACTTCTGGCTTTCAGTGCAGAAAAGTAGAGCCCGACTGATATGGGTTTTTCGGGGCCGATACGATACCGATATCAGGGAGTTAAAAAAGGCCGATATCGATATATCGGCCGATATTCTTTTTGTATATTATAGTACAGTACCAGTCAAAAGTTTGGACACTTTCCCATTCGTGTGTCCAAACATTTGACTGGTACTATATATAGAATATAGTATATACATAAACAGAATATATATACATAAACACATTTTTTGCAATGATCACTCAAATGTGGTGATCAAACACTTATGATTATGACTCACTCACTCACACGTGACAAAGATACGTAATGGAGGCAGGGCATTTAACAATTTAACAATAAACTTTATTATCCAAAATGAGTCTGACATCAGTTTCAATAAAATAAGGTCCAAGTTTAAGAATGCGCTAGAAGTTACATTTTTAAAATATATTTTCTTCTCTACTTAACAACAATAGTGAAAGACGTCTCCCCTCAGGTAGATTAAATGTTTTCCTGCCTTGCTAAATGTTGGGCTCATGATCAATAAATTGCATTCACCCAAACTGATTTGCCAAAATCAAATCGCGGACGTAAGCGTGAGTCCTGCTCGCTGTGAAGCAGGAGCAGCCGGCAGAGGATTCCGCTTGGTCTTAAAGCCTTCATCAAACGGCTACGTTCACAAATAAAACAATATTTTGCTTATAAATAATGATTAATTATCAATTGAGAATTTGTTATTTATATGGTCTGGTGACCATGTATGGCGTATGCCTGCGAATACGGGACAAACTGTGTTATAGCTTTCATACGGGATGCTTCTTTGATGCCTTAAATACGGGCATACTTATTTCAACCCCATAGCAGTGGCATGACAGTACCGGCCCTTGTGGCGAAAAAAAAACAGACCGGCCCACTGGGAATTTTCCCGGTGCTCCCGATTAGCCAATCCGGGCCTGCAACTTTATTCCTTTGAAGTGTATTTCACTTCGGAACATTCATTCACGTATTTGCGCTACTGTCTTCACACACAGATGAAACTTACTAGAGAAGTGTGACAT